TTTGCATCTTGGTTTGTGGTATTCCTGTTTATGATGCAATAGATTCCTTAGTTGGAAGCGAACTAAGCCAGCACCTGAGATGTGATTGTGGAGCTTTATATCGCTTGGAGCAGCATGCAAAATATTTGACATAATGGATCATTTCAGATGCTTTTTTTTGTCATAATGGGTTAAGAATTAAAGCATCTAATTGAATGGTAGGGAATACTGATCTGCAGGTCTGTGGGTCTAAACTGGTACTATGAAGCTTCCAAAGAAAAAAGCGAAATGCCACCTGACAAGCTAGGCAACGTTTAATTATATTTCAAATATTTCCAAAAGAAACAGCATTGACAAATGCTGTATTTTCTTTGTGTGCCATCTGTGCATGATACATTGTGTGGGTACATGAGAATAATCAAGGGAAAAAGTGGGGATTTGGAAAACTCATCTAACTGAAAAATGTGAAGCAGCATATGGTAAAAAGTCAGATTTTAAAGCGGTCCTACCAGCAAGACAAGTTTTTCACTTTGCAACAGTTATAAAGGACAGCTGTACTTTTATACAGTAGTTCTTTCACTCTTTTTTCCTGAAAGTTCTGTACTCCCTGATCTTCACTGTGTGAAAATAAAAACACAACTGTAATTTGAGCTTCAGATTGCAAAAAAAATCCTTGTCATTGCTATGGACAGGTCATCCACCATTGGGATATATAATAAATTTTCTTTTTAACAGAGCTTGTGAAACCCTGTAAAAAAAAAAAGAGAACCGTGAAATCACAGCACACAATAAATTGTACAAGGGTAGAGTAAATAGTCCATCCTTCCAAGAGGAAGGGCCTCCACCCCTGAACTCCCTGAGGCACAAGGCTCTATCTAGGACAAAGCCAGGTGGACCCCATTCCTTAGGAACAAAGTCAGCCGTCCACATACTTGGTGAGGGCTCTCCAGAACAGAGACACCCAAACTGGGAAGAGGAAAAAGGCCCAAAGGCCACAGATCCTCTCCTCGGCATCAAAACAGACCCTGTGCAAAAAAAAAAAAAAAAAAAAAACAACACACAAGCAGTGCTAGTGCCCGTGATAAATAATTATAAAGTACACAACAAGTGCACAACTCAAGCCAGGCTTTTAGGCCAGTATACAAATTTCCCTGGAACTAGCCATAAGGCCCATCCTAAAAGGCATGTGCAAGAAAAGGAAAAAATGTACATGACCAAGTGCCAGTGAAACTCCGTGAGATCCCAAAGTGTTTTTTCTGGCACCCCTGGGACACCACTTCAAGGGGGCACATAGTTGAAAGCAATTTACACCTTCCAGCCCCTGGCCAGACAAATGCAGCCCTATAAAGGCATTAGCACTTAGGGAGAGTCCTTCCAACCGTGGGGGAAGGGCAGGGGGGGCTGGAAGACAATTTAGTGCAAGTGGACAGAAAAATGATCTGCTACTCCTGTACACACTCAAGACCACCCTGACAACTGTCAAGCCATGGTACAAGAGAAGTGGGAGAACATTTAGTTCAGGCTAACAGAAAAAGAAACTCACCAACTCGTAAGCACTCAAGACCACTCTGTCAGCTGTCAAGAAAGCAAACTGCAGCCTAGTGGCTGAGAAACACTTTTGTAGGGAATTATAGGCAGTCACTGTAAAAGTAGTGTGACATCATCACTGTGCAATACAGAGAGCAGAGCTGTGGGAGAGACTCAAAAGGCTCACCGACTGCAAGCTGCCTGCAGAAAAATACAGGCGGGGACGGGCTTCTGTCAAATGAGAATGTTGGAAAACCAGCATCCAACCATCACTGGCAGTCAATGGTTGTGAGTACTGATCAGGGCGTTTTGGCAGGGGGGCGTCCCCGTCAGAACACAATAGCTCATGGGGGTGAGATCACCACACTAACATTGCTAGTACGATGACTTCTCATTTTTTTTTGTTCGGCCCACTGGGTGCATCCAGCATAACATTGAATTCCAAAAGGAATTTTACACTGAACAGTTCTGGAAAAAATACACAAAGCACATCAAGATTCAAGTAAAAATACACATGCCTCTTGTATTAAGACAATATTTGCCTATTCCCGGACTTCAGCTTTAAGCTTTGCTCCTTTCTAATATCCAGGTTTCCAAGGCAGTGCCAAGAGATCAGGTTGCATGACAGTATGTTGTAACTGGCAATGAAATGCTTCTGACAAGCTTGTAAAATTAGCTGCAGCTGCAGAGGAAATAAGGTGACAAGTCTTTCCCCACTTTCCCTGAATAGTTTTTCTGCAACCCCTGCTTCAAGAAGACACTACAATCTTTCAGCACAGCAATCACCTAATTCATCAGCAGTGATGAAGGTGGGACGATAATATGGGACAGTGTTCAAATGTCTCACTTCAAGTCTACATTAAACCTGTTACTAAATCCATTCCAACTACAACTGATAGATCATTTTTAAATTTAGCTGCAGTTTTCAATAGAGGACATGATGTAAAGAGAATTCTAAAAGTTCACCTCGGGTCATATGACTCACTGAAGACCCTGGCACACACGGAGTCTACATTTACTAGAGTCAGACTGGACAGTTGCCAAGGGCTGCCATCTTATGTCATGCTTCTGGGAAAGTGTGTGGGGCTTCACAAGGCTCTGCTCTAACTAAACACCACAACATTCCTGCTGCTGAGATGCAGTCTAGTCCAAAATGTGGGAAGGGGATATTAGCATTTGTTCACACGGCTAGACAAAACAATTTGCATTCAGCATTCTCATCTTGTAGAGATGAAGATGTGTTTTTCAAAGTCTACCAGTTTGCTTAAGCACTTTAAGATTTTAGGCACAGAAATATCTTAATATTTAAAAGTGATCTTTTAGTTTCAAGGGAAGGACTTCAGCTCGGTTGGTTACGTGTATTAATAAAAAAAGTGAGCAAGCAACCAATGCTGAACGCTCTCATTTTGAAAATGTTAGATACCTGGCTGACATGCTAATCAAGGGGCCTAAAATTTTACACCATCAAAAAATTTACATACAGATTAGTATGCTTATTCTGAGTCAAAGACTCAAAATATTGAAGGAAAAGAAAGCCAGGCAGGAAATATTTTCAGAATGGCAACAATAGCAGCCTTTGTACTTCTCCAAGTACAAGGTTTTAGACCCCGTTGCTTCCTCTTCCTGCACGACATGGAAATCAGAGAAGAAAGAGTCTCTGATCTGCATCTAACCTGGCTGCTGTGTCAGGATTCTGACATATCTTACCCAAAAGTGCTCAGAGCAAGCAAAATATAACATGACTTTTTCAGCACTAGCCTGTGTTGCTTTCTTGGTGATATGGTCCTGGCACAATTGATTCCTGCTTACGTGTATGCAAATACCCTGAATATGAGTTAGGGACTTTAGATTGTATGCTCCATGAGGGCAGGGACTGATGTGAATTTATAATATACATGTAAAGCACTACATACATTGACGGTGCTATATAAGTACCTGCAATAAATAAAACATGCTTGCTTGTCTTCAGCTATCCTACTGTGCCACAGCTCAATGTAAAGTTGCTTTCAGGAAAGGAGGATAAAATACACTTTTTTTCCACTTACATATTTATTACAGGTACGTAAATAGCGCCGTCAATTTATGCAGCACTTTACTAATATATATACATATATATATTTATATATTTAATAATAACAGCATCAGTCCCTAACCCTCTAGGAATGTACAATCTAGGGTTCCCAACTCACATTCATACATACACATACTAGGGCCAATTTACACAGGATCCAATTAACCTACCAGCTTGTCTTTGAAGTGTGGGAGGAAAACGGAGTACCCAGAGGAAACCCACGCGGGCACAGGGAGAACATGCAAGCTCCAAGCAGATGGTACCATGGTTGGGATTTGAACCAATGACCCTAGCGCTGCCAGGTGCCATTTAGAAATGGTGCTACATATTTACTAAAATCTATCTTGACAGCAGACGTCTGTAAACCCCCTCCACCGACGTGCTCAGACTGGCAGAGTGAGAGTCATCACTCTGGACAACGAGGCTGTCTGAATAGAATAAGAGATAAGAGGGCTTTATACTCTGCTCAACCTTATACACACATAGACAAACACACACATACATACACACATATATACATACCCAAATACCTTATTTTCTTTTATAAGTGATCACATAACCCCTGCTCCAACTGCATAAAGAGCTTAGAAAGGTTTGGGTTAGCGACATACTGATCTTCCCACTGAAGAGCTGTGCAGATGGAGCATGTTAGCACAAGTCTTTGCCATTGGAGGACAGGTATGCTGTTCTCCGAGCACTGCCAGAAAACAGACCACGCTTGGATGGATGTGCTCTCAGACCTATTGTGGTCAGTTTGATACAGGAATGCAGGTGGACTGGCAGAACCAGCAGGTATTTCACAGAAAGGAAGCAATGAACGTTGCAATCTGAATTTGATAAATGTATAAGCATGCTACAAAATGCAATTATAGCAATGGCAACAGAGTACACTTTCAAGCATGTGTACCAAAACTACAGTTTAATCAACATAGCTTTCGATATGTGAAAGACTACAATTGTGTATGAATGCTGCAACATTTTTTCAACTAGGAAATTTGAAAAAGATTTATAAAACCCACAGAAGCTGTACATTTTAGACCTTCCCATGCATAAATTACTATTTTTCCACCTTATTCTGTTTATGGTGATGCACCACAAAAAGCAAGAAAGAAAATCTTTGCATACATTTTACACAAAAAAAAGAAAACAACTATTTCCACACTGTTTATCCTGAGAAGGGAAATAGACAAATGGGGGTTTATTTACTAAAGCTGGAGAGTCAAAAATCAGACTCCCTTCTGCATAGAAACCAATCAGCTTCCAGGTTTCATTGCCAAAGCTTCATAGAACAAGCTGAGGTTAGAAGCTGATTGGTTTCTATGCAGAAGGGAGTCTGATTTTGGACTCTCCAGCTTTAGTAAATAACCCCCATGGTGTTTATTTTTTATAAAGTGAAGAAAAAAAAAAAAAAAAAGGTAATTACCACCAATCTGTAATGAAAATTTCCTCTTTTGCTGCTTCCATAGCATCTGCCACATCATTAAAATATCCTTTTGCATTGACATACCTAGCATATAAACAGGTAAAAAAAAAAGTTAAATAAGGTCACGCTCCTTGCTCTATATGGAAAACAAAACACTCTAATCTGCAGAACAAGCCAGGTATTTGTAAACCTCTGCTCTATAATGGAGCCACCTTGTGACTTAGCAATAACAGGGGTCATTTCTTTTCTGGCTGATAAAAAATGTTGTAAGAAGAATGCAAATTGTGGCTATAACTTTTGCAGAAATAGCCTGTTACAAGCAATGTGATTTACAGATGATTAATTATTTGCCACATTCCAGTGACTGAAGCCAACACATGAAAAAAATATATTTGGTTTCATTAGAAATGTCTTCTAGTGGTTAAAATGTGAAGGCGAGAATATTAATATTAATTTAATGCCAAATTATACGCAGCATTCAACTTTGCTGGAATCATTCTGAAATGGACTTTTGTAATTATAAAATGAAAAGGCCTCATACAAGCTAAATATTATTGTAATACCGAATATTACAACAGATGGTTGAATTCCAAAAACTATGTGCTAGAGAGACTTTCTGGATATATACTCTAGATACCCTAGCCCCATTAGGGTTAAAAGAAGAATTAGAAATTGCTACAATTTTGTAAATCCTTTAATTCTACCGTCTTTGTATTTAGCTCATAGTAGTTTCAGTTGTTTAAGCTTCCGATTTTTTTTCCCTTGTTTTTCATTTTTAGGAGTATATTGAGACAATTTGTGGATGCTCTTAAAGCGGAGTTCCAGTAAAAATAAAAAATTAAAAGTCAGCAGCTACAAAAACTGTAGCTGCTGACTTTTAAAAAATGGACACTTACCTGCTTCTCGGTCTAGCGGTGTCCTTACCACCGCTGGTTTCACTGGCCGTCTTCTCTCCCCAGCGCCGGCATCTTCAGTGTGGGCACTCGGCTGTGACAGCTTGCGGCTTCACAGCTGGGTGCTCACTGAGCATAGTCAAGTAGTGCTGCGCTGTGAATGGTCCCGTAGTCTTCTGGGACCTGTCACGTGAAGACTATGAGGAGGGAGGGGAATTACCGCTACCGATCACCTAGGCGATAACAGTGGAAGTGGGAGTGGTTACCTATCAATTTTGGGTACCCACTCCCTGCTCCCTAAAGGTGCCAATCCATAATGGGGAGTGGGAGACCAGTCCTTAAAGCGGAACTTCCCCTTTTGGGTGGAGCTCTGCTTTAAGTTGGTTGGGGGAGGCTGGTACACATCGGGGGTTTTTTGTTCCCATATGTCTTCTTACTTCGTATATCAGTGAGTATTATCTGTAAAAATATAACCTTTCATCACGCTTGTAAGGTAGTATAATTAATTAGATTTTTATAGTGTTTTTTTTCCCCACTATATATGTGGTTAATTTCTACCCTGTACTATATATCAATCACATAGTGGGGGCCCTGTGGTTATCACCTGTTCACCATTGGGCCCTCATTTGTTTATAGACCATATTAATTTATATTTTATTGATTGCCGCTATGTTCCCAATAATTTTTTACAAGTGATTATTGGTTGTTCAACAAATTGTTTATCCAATGGTTATTTTACCTACAGAGGGATTATCCCATAATTATTATTCATTCACAATTTAAATTTTATTCTACATCTTTAAATTATACCTTGCTTGTATGTATAATATATTTTTATGTGTCATTATTAGTGTATTATGTATTATTATGTATTATTATTAGCTGCTTTGCAGGGTTTTAAAAACACAGCTTTCGAGGGTGGGGGTGTCCACTATTCTCAGTCCAAGCAGTACTGATACACAAAGGCTTCAAAGGCTTAACAAACTGTTAAAAGAATTTCCACAGACAAATAGCCAGTAAGCTGATCAAAAAAAAAAAAAAAAAGAAGAAGGAAAAACTGAATGGATTCCCCCATCCACACATTCAAGGTGGGTAGAGGAAGCCTCCCTGCTGTGCTATTGTATTTTGACAGCGGGAACTCCTCCTCTGCCAGAATATACTGATTGAAGGAACATTTTCCAAAATCCCTGTTCAAGAGAAGCAAATCAGATCAGATTAGATTGACTTCTCTTGAGCGGAATATCGGATGGATTTAAAATTAGGATAAAGAATTATAAGGGAAGGATGAGGGGGTCACAGAGGTGAGCATGGTCATAAATCCATTTGACAGTGGTTTAGGCTGGTTCACTATTAGATTTTGTTTATTCAGCCCATAAACTGAACGAAAAAAAAAAAAAAAATCTAACAGATCCCTCCATCCATGTTATACAGAGCAGGTGACAGGTGGACACATCATTTTGCAACTAATTTATAACCAAACAGCAACTGTATCTAACTGGATGCAGCTGTGGTTGACTGCAATTTTCCATCTAGCTCCAATTTTCCAGTCGAAAAGTCATTGAGGTTGACCTGCATTTGATATTTGTTATAAGCATGAACCATAAGGGTAGCTATAAATGATAATTTACAAGGAATGCAATGGTATTAAACCCAGCTTTCAATTATCAGGCCTTGCAGGGATTAATACAAGAGCAATCATGAACAAGCAGCCTAAGTACTTGTTTTCTGCAGAACAGCTCTTTGCCTGAAAGTGCAACTCAATGGCTTAATTACCAATGGCTAAGTCAAGAAGAAAAAAACCCACAGTAGAGTACGGGAAGAGTCTAACCAACGTGTTCCTTCATGAGACACCTGCCAAGTGTATGGTCACCAAAATAAGGGCCTGTGTCAACAGACTTTGGTTTTGTGTGGACATCAGGTTAATTGACAGGCTCATTTGATCTGCAATTGACCTCCTACTGACTGGCTTCAAGTGGGTTCTGCATTCCCACAGATGTTTTAGGGATGCAAAACCCATTGGATTCCAACAAAGGGCCACTGACATAGGGCTTGAAGTACTCTAACCATTTTGCAAATTATCAATGGAACATGGCAAAATAAATTACTAGCATATCAATGGAACGAAAAAAAAGCCATAAATTAAACTGGAATTTCAGTTTACAAAAGAAGGACTGTTAGCTCAGCCTCCTCCCCCATTCATTTCACACTACATAGACCCATGCTTTCTGACAGGTGAGCGAGACATTCCTTGGTCCAAGGTTCTATAGTTTTCAGTCCCCTTTACATACTACCAAAAATGTTACAGGCTTCGAAGAAATATCAGAGCTGTAGACAGAAGGGTCTAGTACACATGGCCAATGAATCACTGGGTACATACCACTTGCAGAGTGTGTTTTTCTGGACGGCAGCATATGAACCAAATCTGTGAGGTGTAAGGAAGTTTTTACCATGCTTCCTAACAAATTCTTCAATAGCCTGTCCCCACCAGCGGGCATGTCTGTAGCTGTTACATTTCAAGATTAAAGATCTACAAAACAAAAACATATTCGGTGTAATGAATTCCTCCCCAAACCACTTTCTATACTTGAAGTTGAATTCCAGGCAAACAGCTATATATACACACAACTCATGCAGGCATATATGAACAGTTTTAGCTGCCCAAGGGTTTGTTACGCTGTTCAGCCAGTATTGTGATACACTTCTGCCATACTGCGTAGTCAGGCAAGGGGACAACGACTTCCTTTAAGCTTTGCAGCATATTGTGTACCAGCTCACTGAACAATTAGTCAGTATTTTCACACTGAAATTCAAAGTAAAAAGGTAGCGCTAATTAAACAAACTTATTTTTGTGACAGTGATGCAAACAAATATAAAAATAAAGTAAAATATTTTGCAAGTAGTATTTTGCAAAGGAAAGGATTTTTTGCACAATTGGTAGTGGATTTTCTACGTCATGACGTTTTTGAATTGAGAGACATTAGAGACTTTTTTAAATCACTTTATTGAATAATTTGCATTTTTTTATGAACACTTGCAAAATACTTTATTTATTCTTGGATTTGTTTGCATCACTGTCACAAAAATAAGCTTGTTTAATTAGCGCTACCTTTACACTTTCATTTTCATTATTACCTCTGCTAGAGGGTGAGGTTTAGCAGCTTTAATGTTATAATATAATTTCTTTTTTTGGCTCGGTTTTCACTCATTTATTATTTCATTATCCTCACACTGCTTAAACAAAATGCCAGTGATCTTCGCAGAGTTTAGCAGAGTTTAAGAGTGGTTTTTTTTTTCTGCCAAAAAAACGGTCTCAAAAATGCAAGACAGAGGGTTTTTTTTTTTGCTTCCAAACGCTGAGCTTACAAAAAAAAAAAAAAAAAGACCTAATGTGGAAACATAGGATAACACATTGTTGCTTCTACAGGCGAAAAGCAGTGATGTTTTTAAGCCAGTGAGCATGGACAGTAAAGCAGACAGTAAAGCTGGTTATGAAGGCTGGTAGAAATGTGTTGGTCACAATTTCCGAGCACAGGCAATGACTTAAATTTTTTCAGCTTTTGCTAGTTGCCTAGAGTCCAGTTAAGGCCTCATGAACATGTGTGGGCGTGCGTACTATACCGGTGCAGGCGGTGTTTATTTTGGTATCTGCATCCATCCCCAGCGGCACGCATGCAGCCTTTGGAGGTCGATGCTGACACAGCAGTTGTATGGACACAGCCACATGTCAAAATTTTACAGTTGCGCAGCAGTGGGCACACGGTCCCGAAGGAAGATATAGTGCATTTGGGGCGTACACCAGCTCCTGCGTGGCTTTTAAAATTTTGATATGGAGAGGTTTCTGTGCAGCAGCATCCACCTTCATAGGCTACTGCCTCCATGCAGCTGAGGGCAGATGCAGACAACAAAACAAACACTTCCTGCATGCAGAACAAGTGCCAGTGTCCAAAACTGATGCAATTAACATGGACCCATATTTAAAAAAAATATATATTTTATTTATTTATCCTGCATCTCCTCCCTTTAAAGAGAAATTTGAATGATTATACACATACACACACAATGGCATTTTTTTTTTTCTAAAAAGTAATCTTCAGCATGAACCTACAACCTACAAGGATATAGAATGTCAATTTGCATGAATATATAATTGTGACTACAGACTGAAAAGGAAAAATCATTTTTTTTTTTTTTTTTAGAACGGTCAAAAAATTCAATGCAATATGGCAACATAGAGGTCTTCTATACACAGTTGGTGCAAGGAATGCCCTCAGAAATGTCCCGAGTTTTCAGACTGGCTCACTGATTTTCTCAGACACTTGCACTAAGATAAAAGTATAAATTTAGGCATACCCTGCAATAGAAATTTCATTTTTGGTAAGATGCTCCTAAAAGCTCATTCACACAGATGAAGAAAACAATGCATTCAGATGTGTACTGCATGTAGTTTTGTATGCATTTGACAGAAGAACTAATGAAGTGTATGGGTCCATATGCACCCCTGTATAAATATGCACTGCAGTTTGCAGCATAGATAAAAGTAGCCCTGAGCTTTATATTTGGGTGCAGTTAATGTTGTATGCATATAAATGTTTTTACAGCATTTGTACGGACATACAGCATACAGAGGCCTTATTGGCTTTTGCTCAGGGCTGATATGTAAATATCAACAATGTGTAAATAGTGGCACTATTGTTCTGACATGTAGGTCATATGAATGATGCATTCATTCCTTGGTCATGGTGGGGAAGGAGCTAGTGGTTAGCTAGTGCTAAATACTATCAGATCTGCTCTGACAACTAAATCACAAGCAGAAACAGTTCCTCTCATTGGCAGATCTAATGGGATATGATGGGAGACAGACCCAGAATAGTTTTTAAGTGTTATGGTTCCCAGTCAGGTCCACTCCTGACGGCAAGTGGGAAAAGCAGTTTCTGCTGATAAATTTGATTGGCTGAGCTAATCAAATTAAACACAGGCAGAAACAGCTCCTCCCAATGGTTAGTGGGCCTGATGGAGATCTGACTGCCTGTTTGATGGTAGGACTGGCATCTTTCATTGGTTCTGCTGGCAGGATCCTCCATAGAAAACGGCAGTCAAGTGTAAATGAGACCTACGGCTTGTTTACTAAAGGAATGAGAGAAAGGGGGGACCTGTTTTAAGGTCTGCCACCCTTATGGAATTGTGGCAACTAGGTAGTTTCAAGGCTTTTCAGACAGCTGTAAAGCTGAGAGGAGCTTGTGATCTGTCAGCTGACCTTTACCTATCAGCTGACCTTTGGGAAACTTCTGGAAGGCCTAGCCAGCTGACCTATTGAAAGTTTCTGTAAGGGGTTAGGATCCTATGTAAACTAAGTTTTTTAAGGTCATGTCACCAATCGCCAAGATCTCCTGTCAGTGAGTTCACCCCAACCTTGTCGCGGTCATTATGTGATATTGTCACCTTTCTTGGTAAAGGGGGACATAGGTTGCTTATGCCAATTTGCAGTCATGGTGATTGGGCTGGGTGCTGGCCATATTGTTTATATCTTGATATATTTTGGGTGTCTATAATTAATTATCTTAAGCCAATAGTAAAAGGCCATGGCCAATGAATTTCCAGCTTTTGTTGTCTTAGTCTTTATTTTACATTTATGTACTTTGCCATTTCTGTCTGAAATCCCAAGCAGACACTGCAACTTTTACCATCAGAACAGTGATGTTTGTTCTGGAGATTATATTAAACACAGGCCTTCCCAATCAGGAATCATTCTGCAAAGGACACAATGAAACAGAAACAAACAGCTTTTTCTTTAGAACACGAAATCTGCAATAATGTTTGTTAAAATCCTTGAATGTGAATGAATCAACCAAAGGGGAAAATGAGTTACACTCATGTCCATGACAAAACTATTCAATGGCATACACATAATTCCAGCCAAGTCATCACAATATACACAATAACACAGCCACGCTATCATACCTCTCTGCCTGTTTAAGAAAACAAATGATGTATGCCTTAAAAAAAAACATTTCTTTTCAATAATTAAGCATTGCCTCAAGGAATAACGATAGGCCCTTGCGGTTACTTCCAGGAACTAGAACTACATCCTGGACATATTCAGAATTTTGCCAGAATCCTAAAATTAGTAGTTACACATAAAAAGGCAAGATGAAATTTTAAGGCAAGTCACAAATGTGCACGTAGCAGTAGTTCATGTCACTAAGGCCTTTATCTAGCAGGCCATAAATAAAGTGTTAATTGATGTAACCCACTGCAACATTCATAAATAAGATATCTTTGCTCTATTTCTGGCTGATATTTTATGCATGTTGCAAAACATTTTTCTGCAATAGACTGCAGTTTTATGAACTGTGTGCACACAAATAATATGCTAACATTAAATAACTATAATTTTTTTTGGCCTAGGTCTTAAAAGGAATATTATACAGCTTTCCTCTGCATGAACTGCATTGCAATTTATAGGAATTATATGAACTACAAGGCACTGTATCTAACAATTTAAATATCTGGGATTATAATGCAAGAAATATATGAGCTGAATAAAAACAGAAGGCAGTACATTCTTATTTTGTCATGTGAAACTCACCTAGAAAGATTGTCTATCCGCAGTCCGTACTCAGTCTCAGTGTCCCTTTTTCCAATCTTTATGTTAAACTCCTTATCAACCAATAGAACAAAGGAAATGGCACCAGTGTCGATCTTCATGTACAAAAGGAAAGAGTCTTTCACAACCAGCCACCTAGAAAATACATAAGAAGGTTTGTACAGTGCCTTGGAAAAGTATTCACGCTCCTTAACATTTTCCACATTTTGTCAAGTTAATCCAAAAACGTAACTGTATTTTATTGTTTTTTTATGTGATAGACCAACACAAAGTGGCACATAATTGTGAAGTGGAAGGAAAATGATAAAATGGTTTTCAAAATGTTTTACAAATAAATATCTGAAAAGTGTGGCGTGCATTTGTATTCAGCCCCTTTTACTCTGATACCACTAACTAAAATCTAGTGGAACCAATTGCCTTCAGAAGTCACCTTATTATTAAATGGAGTCTACCTGTGTGTAATTTAATCTCAGTATAAATACAGCTGTTCTCTGAAGCTCTCAGAGGTTTGTTAGAGAACATTAATGAACAAACTGCATCATGAAGGCCAAGGAACACACCAAACAGGTCAGGGATAAAATTGTGGAGAAGTTTAAAGCAGGGTTAGGTTATAAAAATATCCCAAGTTTTGAACATCTCACTGAGCACTGTTCAATCTACTGACCGAAAATGGAAAGAATATGGCACAACTGGAAAGCTACCAAGACATGGCTGTCCACCTAAACTGACACGCTGGGCAAGGAGAGCATTAATCAGAGAAGCAACCAAGAGACCCATGGTAACTCTGGAGGAGCTGCAGAGATCCACAGCTCAGGTGGGAGAATCTGTCACAGGACAACTATTAGTCGTACACTCCACAAATCTGACCTTTATGAAAGAGTGGTGAGAAGAAAGCCATTGTTGAAAGAAAGCTATAAGAAGTCACGTTTGCAGTTTGCGAAAAGACATGTGGGGGGCGCAGCAAACATGTGGAAGAAGATGCTTTGATCAGATGAGACCAAATGTGTGGTGGAACACTGCACATCACCCTGGACACACCAGCCCCACTGTGAAACATGATGGTGGCAACATCATGTTATGCAGATGCTTTTCTTCAGCAGGGACAAGGAAGCTGGTCAGAGTTGATGGGAAGATGGATGGAGCCAAAAACAGGGCAATCTTAGAAGAAAACCTGTTTCTGCAAAAAGACTTGAGACTGGGGCAGAGGTTCACCTTCCAGAAGGATAACTACCCTAAACATACAGCCAGAGCTACAATGGAATGGTTTAGATCTAAGCATATTCATTTGTTAGAATGGTTCAGTCCAAAGTCCAGACCTAAAGCCAATTGAGAATCTGTGGCAAGACTTGAAAGTTGCTGTTCACAGATGCTCTCCATCCAATCTGACAGAGCTTGAGCTATTTTGCAAATAAGAATGGGCCAACATTTCACTCTCTAGATATGCAAAGCTGGTAGAGACATTGAATCAGGGGGGCTGAATACAAAATCATGTCACACATTTAAGATATTTGTAAAACAAATGTTGAAAACCATTTATCATTTTCCTTCCACTTCACAATTATGTGCCACTTTGTATTGGTCGACTACATAAAATCCCAATAAAATACATTTATGTTTTTGGTTGTAACATGAAAAAATGTGGGAATACTTTTTCAAGGCACTGTAAATAAGATATTTCTAATCTCATTAATACTAATACTACAAAACAATTCTGACAATATTATGAAGGAAAATTTGCTTAAAAGCTTTTAAGTAGAATTTCAGCTTTCCTATCACTTTAATTAGTTTGTTTGGGCCAAGCGGGCCCAAAGGAACTATTTAAGCACTATATACCAAGCTTTTGTAGCAATAGCTCCAGTACATGCAGTAAGCTGCACTGTTTTAACAGCAGTATGGGCAACTTCCTGTGTACCACTGGAAAAAAAAAAAAAAGACTGAGTGCTTCTACACCATTCTAGAGAAACCTTTTTAATCAGTGAATACAAGGCTTCCTGTGATTGGCTGAGGTGGAAATCATGAAAACATCCTCCCGCCTCTCCACCTAAGCCACTCACAGGAAGCCTTGTATTAACTGAAAAAAAATTCTGGCATTAGACGAGAATCTGATAGGTATGTAGTGCTGTAAAAGGGGTCTCTGTAAAATGAGTCCATTTGTTCAACATCGAAAAATCCTTCCTTCCTTGATTGTAATGCTGTTGGTACACAGCATCTCTTACTGTATGCAGCTAAGGCTATGTTAGAGAACACACATCAGCTGCATCATTATGTAGCAGTAAGTTTGCTTGGGCCCACTTGGTTTGAACTACGGTAACTTTTTAAAGTGATACGAAAGCTGGAATGCTGCTTTAAGCATTTTCATCTTGAGGATGTAAACTAGGTACTGATGAAAACCCTGCCAATCAGAATATAGATCACCTTTGCCACATACACAATAAAGGACTTACAATACCTTTTTGACCATCGGTAGCAAACACTTCTTTGTCCGCAACAATTTAAGCCTGGAATTCTGTGACCTCCAGATCTCTTCTGGATCATGCCTTCTCTAAATCACAAAATGAAGAAAATAATCATTATACAACCATCATGTATTTCACAAGGAGAACCTTTAGAAAGTATTTTCATAATGTTTCAGAGACAAAACTAAAAAGCATACAAAAGTCTACTCTCCATTACATAAGCAATAATGCCCCCCTTTATTGTAAATTATAGATTATGATTCACTAAGGAGCTTACATAGCATATGAATATTAGGGACTAGCTAATGAAGTTACTAAAAGCAGAAGTCACAGTTAATTGGATTCATTCTGAGCTGGGGTTCTCTGAGATGCGGCATTTGTTTTTTACAAGCAAACCGAATTTGTTCAAAGGGACCTGGAAAGTGCCATTTACTAGAATGTTCCCTCGCTTGCAGAGTGCACTGCGGGCCCATCCCAACACAAAGCCCACACTGCAATGGAAAGGAGCATGCTGTATGTGATGTTGATATTATAACAAGAAAATACTTTTCTTTTTTAGATCAGCACCCAATAACGAAATATATTCCCTTCATTTAAAGAAGAACTGGGGCTATGCCTGCACTGTATGGGATAACTGCTTGTTTTGTCCAGGGGCAGTAGTGAACTGTTCCTGCCATCCTCACACCCAGGGCTGGTCTATAGACATGACAACATCAGGATCAGTCCATGCACAAGACCACTAACGTGCGGGGGGGGGGGGGGGGGGGGGGACACACGGTCTTGTACTTGGAGAATCAGTGGTTTGGCAAGTATATCTCTGCTCTCCTCACCCCGAGACAAGACAGCCCCACTGCATGGGAAAATAAAAAAAAATATATTCTTTAAAAAGGAAGCAGTCACAGGGAGAGAGGATCCCACTCCAATCCTCTTCACATTCTGCCAGGAAACTTTCACATTCTGAGTTGCTATTGAAAAAGATTTTACATTTTTTGGTCCTCTCTAAATTAAACTGCAGGCCAAGCATGTTTCTAAAGGTCAATGATCTGTGTTGAACCTGTATATAGGAGCTGTCACTGCTAACTTGAGTTTTAAGGGTGCAGGCTTTACTGCTGAGTAAAACCCTGAGCAGAAACCTGCATGTAGGCTGACAGGTCAAAATTTTCAGACTTCTTCGGCTATGGTTCGCCAGGATTAACACAATCCATCAGATGGAGACTTTGATAGCCAATCATTGGGAGGGATTATGTAATTAAACTTGCTTTTACTAGATGAACTTTGTGTATTCCCATGAGTAAAGAGACACCATACGGTATCAGGCTTAAAATCCGTTATGGGATGTGCGCGGCCCCTTGAACTATCTGAGCTGATCTCCTATCTTTGTCGCCACTGGGAATGTGCACAGATTGTTGAGAGATCTTTCCCCCTATTTTCTTTTCTTCCTCCCCCATGCCCCTTAAAATTCTTGTTGGATTTCGGCTTTTTACATTCTCCCTTTGTATGTGCAGGGGTGGTCTCGGTTAGGTATGGAGGCCATAAGATTGAACGCTTCAGCTTACAATTGACATGCTCGGTATAGCCTATAGTTAAAGATGGTGTATATTTTTCTCCATGTATGGTTTCACAGGGGCTCAGAAGCAATAGTCTAGCCAGGAGCGTTCTTTGCTAGTATATAACTGGGAGTTTACTGTGTAGCTTGGCTTGCATTTGCCCATCGAGATGATACCTCCTGCACATACTATTGAAAAGTTAAAATAATGGATTAAAAACCAAAAAAAACATTTTCAGACTTCATTTACTGCATTCCTATTCTAGGTTGGTGTCATACTAGGCTCCCATATTTGAATTCACAGAGGCCTACTTTAAACATATGGCAGAGGGAATGTTATTTCATTTATTTTACTGAAACAGGCTTATACCAGCCCAGTCAATCATGGGCAGATATACAATACATGGGTGAACACTAAGTAAAAAATGGCTCTGCCAGTGGTACAATGCTACTTTCTCCTCAAACTGCTCAAGCTATTTGCAAACTAATGGCTGCCTGTGAGTTAATGGAGCTACGACTGTGGTGGTGGAGGGTGTGTGAACATTTGAAAGCTGCCAAATGTTTTGATCCTTAGAAAGTGCACTTTATACAGATACAATTTATAGGAGGTACCATGAGAACTTTATATGGTGTAATGCAATAAATTACGGTATAAAAGCTTCTCCTATTCACTTTCTTTTAATTGTACGCACAAGCATATGCAAATAAAACTTGCATTTTCTTTAACAATGCTATGGACCCCAAGGGAATTGTGGGTTGTGTAAATATGGATTTGTTTCTCTACCCAATCCCAAGTGAAAATCTTCCATAAGTCTTCTCCCAATTCCATGGGAAAAGCAGGATGTTTCATAAAATAGCTGTATAAACTAATCATAAGAGCTTACATGCCCTTTGGTCCAAGATCATGGATGAAAGAAAGCTGATTCACATCAATGAATTCTCTCTGGGAAAACAAACAAAATAAACATTTCCAAAACAACATTTTCTTCAGAGTAACAAGAACACAGAGATGGTTGAAATAATATACAGTATAAATTATGATATACACTGCCATGATTGTATCTATATTTTTAAGGGTGGTTTATTCATGTCTCAGGTGTTGGGCTTGATTGCCTGAAGGCCATTTACCAACATTTTAACTTCATGTCAATGAAGACAATAAGGTGGCAAATAGCCATTGTGTTGAGGGCCAACATCAATTCTTCACTGACCCCTGGTTCACATATATGAGGCCGTGCGGGGGACTCCCGTGCCCCGTGACACGCAGGGAAGAAGTCCCTGCACTTCTTTGGACAATGCAGCCCACACAGGAACCTTGGTTTCCAGTACAATTGCGTTTTCCAGTGTGGGCGGCGTGCCATTAGAACTAATGGCACCCGCCCGCGGGTCCGCATTCCTCTGTGCGGGTGCACGGATTTTCGTGCGGTTCTGCAGCGGCAACACCCACACATATGTGAACCAAGCGTTAAGGAAAAACATGCATACATCCTGAGGTGCCCTCAAAAATGGGGAGTTGAAATCCAATAGATGCTGCATGCGCTATGACTTAATGAGAAAGTTTCCTCCTTTAAAGAATGAAACCCTTCTATCATTTTTAGCCAAGCAAGTTGCCATCCTAGCCTCTGTTTGATCTGCAACTGCCATGATGCTGCACATGTGATCAATTATGACACCAGCCATTTGATAATTTGGTTGAGACACAAGCAAATGTGACCGTTACATTCCTGGCACATGTCAGGAATGTAAGAGTTTTTTTGAAAAGGTTAAATTGATGGGTTTAGTCAGCTTTAATCCCAATTGAAGCAATTTTTATAATAAGTGTATAAAAGGTGTTGCCTCAAGACACTATGCTTTCATATTAACAAGCTTCTTCAAAGCACTCCTCAGTTTTGTCAGCGCTGCGTAACAGTGATGACTTTTACACACACAATAGAGTGCAGTCTACGTATCGGCCACAGTAGGATATGCCATTGGTGTGCACTATTCTAGTTATTAAAAGTCCCACTTTCCCATCATCTTATCCATTTCTTCCATAAGTCATCGGTAACATTTCTTCCTATCGAGTCCTGATCATTTATTACCTTCAAATATGTAATTCACTCATTAGTGTTTGTTATCCTTTACAGATATTTGTTCCAGAAGGCACTTTAAAGCAGACAAAAATTGGAATAACACCCCTCTATCCTACCCATCCAATTTCGTTAAATGGAAGTATGTGAAAGAAACCCCTAAAAATGCGCCTGTGTCACACAAAAGAAAAGTAGGCTCAGCAAATTGGTCACAAAATCTCTGCTACAGGGGGTATTAAACCCAAAAGCAAACATTTATTATATTGCAGCTTACCAATTCTTAGATGTGATGGCTGCATTCATTTTCCTTTTTGGACTTAGCCACACACACACGCTCTCCAGCAGTAGAAGCAAAGAGTGTCTAGATCAATGCACACCATTCAAAGCTGTCCATCATGCAAGTGATAATATCCTTTAGCCAGCTCTGTGTGAGCCACACCATCAACATGTTTCGTCCTGCCCCACCCACAGGGGCTTAGTCATAAGTTCATGACCTCCATTACCAAGTCATGTGGGAGAGGTGAAGTGTGTCAGTGGTGTGGCTCAGGTGGAGCTGGCAGAGGCTGCTGTCACTTGCATGACGGAGGGCTTTGTATGGTGTCCGGTGATTCGGATCATCTCTTTTCCTTTACAGTCTGTACAGAGTCAGGACGGACTATTACCCCGAACGGAACCCACCAAACATGACTATAGAAACCGGAGCAAAGACCCAAAGTTTCATTCAAACTCTCCAGCAGAATGTATCCATTAAAGAAATAAGACAAACCATTTAGCACATGCAGGGGTGCTTACAATGATTAGATTTATGTTAAACCTCTACTTATGCTGAAACTGCTTATAAAATATTAGCAGGAGTTTGGCTTTGATTTGTTAGTATATTTAAATCTGCTAGTGCATGAACCCCCCCCCCCACACTTCCCCTAGACTGGCAATGCTGTTGTCCAAAGGTGCCCTTGTTTTCTTTCATCCTGAGTGGGGGCACTCTAATACAGGGGATGCATTATCGGCTAGATCACCAGGTGAAAACAGAGGTAAAAAGTCTAAAAAAAAAGAAAACAAATGCAGCAACCACATCTAATGGTTGGTAAGCTGCAACATATTACATTTTTGTTTTTAGATTATTAAACCTTGAAGTGGAATTTTATGTAAAAGAAAAGTAAACTCTTTAGGGGTTCCTTTATTTAAAGTAGGAGAGTTGGTGAGAGTGTGGTACTGTACACCAGCTTTCTCTAGCTTTAGACTAAGATTTTTATAGCTGAACTAAAGACTAACAACAAACTAACTAATGAATGTAATGCACATGTGTCTGCTATAAAGCAATAAGGAATGCAATAACATATAAACAGCTGTAAATCCTGTAACTACAGACACAAGGCGTTCTGAATACTTCACAAACACTACTTGTAGTTTTTGCATGTACATAACCGCTTAAGAACTGCCCTGTGTGCAGGATCACTTATATATATATCATTCTGCATATCCGGGTAGGAGGTGCGTGTGCCCTACATGCGCTGCCATTCGCGGTTGCAGATTTCAATCACCGGGTCCCGGCCAGTAATTACCCACCAGCCCGGTGATTACAGAGCATCTCCGATGGGGAGGAAAATTGTTTTGTTTACAAACAAACTTCCTCCCTGTCAGCTCAAGCACACTGCTCAAGATGGCTGTGCACAGTACAGCCATCCCGATCAGTGTGCTTACAGTGAAGAACACCCACCCGCCCCCTAGTAAAACACTCCCAGCACACAGTTAACCCTTTGATCACCCCTCACATCAACCCCTTCCTGCCCAGTGTCATTAGTGACTGATCACTGTATTGGTGTCAGTGACGCCAAGTTAGTTCCCCCCAGTGTCAGAATGTCCTCCGCAGTCCTGCTAAAAGTTGCTGATCGCCTCCATTACTAGTAGAAAAAAAAATCCCATTATCTATACCGCCATTCGTAAACACTATAACTTTCACATAAACCAATTAATTTACACGTATTGGGTTTTTTTTTTTTTTTTTTTTAGCAAAGACATTTTAGCTTAAATTTATGACAAAATTTGATTTTTTTACTGGACATGTTTAAGAGCAAAAAGTCCAAAATATTGTTTTTTTTTCTTAACATTGTCAGTCTTATTTTGCTTATAGCGCAAAAATTAAAAACTGCACAAGCAATCAAATACCACTGAAAGAAAGCTCAATTTGTGCGGGAAAAAAAGCGTAAATTTCATTTGGGTGCAGTGTTGTATGAACGTACAATTATCAGTTAAGGTAACGCAACGCCGTAACAAAAAAAATGGCCTGGTCAGGAAGGGGGGTAAATCCTCAGGAGGACAAGTGGTTGATGTTCAAGCTCTTGACATGCCTAGCATTAATGCACATTTAGACACATTTTCACACATCAAAGTTTTTTCTGCCAAAACTCTGCTGTTCTGGGACATGCTGTGTGTTTTTTTTTTTTTTAATCTGCAAAAAACGGCCTGGTCATGAAGGGGGGTAAATCCTCAGGAGAGCAAGTGGTTTAAAGAATACTATTAATACTTAACACCACAAGGGAGCATCTATTGATATAATGTTTAGGAATGATAATCAGATATTCCAGAACCTACTTTACAGCATCTTTTACGCATTAGATTTATAAACTGTCAGTTTATGCTTCACAGCATATGTTGAATTACAAATCATATGAGCGTTCTGATTGCTGATGCTACAGTTTGCTTCAGGAGTAGAATTTATTAAATAAATTTATGGAAGATAGATCAGGAATTCCAAACATATCTCTGCTTGGTAATGTTTTTTTTTTTTTTTTTTAACTGGCAGGTTTGACATTTATTGCATTCCTACGTCCAAGTTTTGCCCTTTTCAAGCAAACAGCAAATACTGGAAGACTGATGGGAAAATGACAACTGCTGGCCAGGAAGAAACACTGGATAGTGTAAGGGAAGATCAGGATTTCTACATGATAAACGCTCTTATAGAGGGCGACCTGTAGTTTTAAAGCCAGTGTAAACGTCTACTAGTATGACAGTGTTAATAGCATATTATTGATATAATAATCTGCCAAATATATATGCATACAGAAATGTAGCTAAATGTAAACTGTGGCAGCTGGAAAAACATTAAAATTAGCCCATTTTTCACTTACTGTGGCATGATAATTTCTATACATTGGCATCTTTAAAAGTGCGGTTAAGTAGTCTTCCAGCTGTTTCTGGAATTAAAAATGTAAAACATCTTATATTAGCTCAGAACACTCAAAAAAGAAGATGGCTCTGTAAAATGAATCTTAATTTATCAGGAATACAAGGGGGCTTACTTGCTTATGTACTACAAAATGTATAGACACACAAAGCAACATATTCTATACAAATGTATACATTGGAAAATTACATATATGTGTACATGACCCTCTAAGCGTAGTATTCTGTAGTTTGACAGCCCTCTCCTGCCCCTCCTTTTGTGTGTGTGTGTGTATGTATGTATGTATATATATATATATGTTTTTTTTTTTTTTTTTTTTCATTTATATTTAGCCTACATATCTGGCAGTAGTTTGCATAGCAGATAGAACCATCGTGGAACTTAAAATGTTCTTTACTCCACACACTTATATTCTGGTACCTGTATGGTCAGGTACATTCAACAGTATATTACAGAAGCAAAAACACAAAATTTCATGCAAACAGTATCCTTGCTGGGATTTGAAACTAGCACTCCCAGTGCTGCAATGTAAGAAAAAAAAAAAACTACTTAACACAAAACCAACACAACTAATATGTACAAAACCCACTCAACGCTCCTAAATAAGGCCATAAAAAATGAATATCTGGTTATGAATGAAAACAGTCAAAATACATACACAAGACATTGACTGCCTTGCATTTCGTTTTTATCACTGCTGTAATATACAAAGCCACCCACTGCATAAACTACCTTGTTGCTGGTAAGCTGGTGCACATAGTCACCAACCTGTTTAATTAAGCTAGTTATATGCTAGTAGAATGCCATTCTAAATCTTCTCTTTTAAAATTAAAACTTTTCGAATCGTTAGTGGGGTCAAATCAATGTTAATTTTTAACCACAGTGTCAAAAAAATTAGAAGGAGCAGGATGGAAATTTCTCGAACAAAGGAATATCCAACAATGTATGATGTTTTTGTTCAGGAAACTACATTCATTGCAAAATCAAATGTTAAAAGCAAACAAATGTCAAAAGCACAAAATAACTTTTACACAAATGCCTGTATGAATATTTATACAAATGTTCATTGAAAACTACTATACTAGTGTATAGCCATCTTTAGATTGTACAAACTCCTTTTTATCTATAAACAATCATGTAGTGGGAGAACCTACCAGAAGGGATACAATTAAATGGGATGTTTAGTTAGGTTCTCACACTATATAGTTCTTGGTAAATCTAAAGAAGATTGCACAGACTGTGCAATTGGATTGCAGCGTGTAGCCATCTTGAAAAGGAAGACGCTGTACAGGACAGAATCCTGCGAAAAGAATTTGGCTGTGAAAATGACAATAAACATAACCTAGGGAAAGAGAACACCAGAACACCATTGCAGTGATAGTGATGTGCATGTCAAGGCAGTGGCAGAGAGCGATGAAGTGCATATAGGTGCAGCTGCAGCAAGTGGGGGGTTGTGTGCTGGTGCAGTGGCAGAGAGTGAAGACGTGCATATAGGTACAGCTGCAGCAAGTGGGGTTGTGTGTTGGTGCAGTGGCAGAGCGTGAAGGGGGGCATATTGGCTTAGTGGTGAAGGGTAAAAAAATGCAGTGGAGAGTGGAGTCTAAGCATGGTGGTGCAGTGGTGTAGAGCAAAGAACTGCATATGGCTGCACAGGCCGGGAGTGAGGATGTGCAGTGACTGAGCGAGGAAGAGTGGGACAGTGAAGTGGTGGGGAGCAAATAAGATGACATCAGAGCAGAGGTGCAGAGTGAAGTAGTGCAGGTCAATTCAGTGCAGTGCAGAAGAGTGAAGAAGTGTGTGTTGTTTTGCACAGTGTTAGAGAGGGAGGTGCTCCCACCCTTACTATTTTGAATATTAAAAAAAAAAAAAGAAAAATACTGAATGACTGCCAATTTCTCTCAATGCCACTCAACCCCCCCCCCCCCCCAACACTGTAAGAATCTTCACACTATCACACATATGTAAAAACATGTTTGTAATTTAAAGCTAAACATAGAGAGGTAAGATCTTCTCCCAATGTCCGGTCTTAGAAATAGCTTTGAGCTTGGGCTAAAATTACCCTTCTGCTTGAGGCCTGCTCCTCTCTGACAATCTCAGCATTCCGAGGTAGATTTGGCATCGCCCTCACATCTCCTCTTCTTACTGTCTGTCTTCTTACTGTGTGGCTGTAAATAACAGGTCATTAGTCTCAGCCATGAGCAAGACATTCCAATCTTAGAGTTGAGCCAAAGAGGACATTACCTTCTGGTGGGAATAGGGATACGGATGAAAGCTTTATATCGTAGGAGTTCCCTGTGTAGGTCCTGGAAGTGCTTATATTTCCTCTTGACTTGCCACGTGAATTCCGCATGAGTCAGCTCAATTGTGTAAATGCTCATAACTGACGTCTGAAATGAAAAAGCAATAAACATTAATAAATGTAATTTTTTGGGATACCTTTTACAGGAAATACAAATGAAAAAAAGGATGGTGAGGAAACTAGAACAAAACATTAGGAATAATAATTTAAAAAAAAAATTGTCTGACAGATGAACTCCACAGCCTATAGCAACAAATCAGATCTATCATAATTCCCAACCTGGTGAAACCAGACTGGCTATGGGCAATGTAGACAGTAATCAGAGACATCTACCGACTTGAGGACCATAGCAAAATAACGAGTTCTCATGTCTGTAATTTCGTTTATCAAGTGCCAGGCACCCTGCTACTGGAGAGAAGTACAATTCTTATGCTGGCCACACATCGAACTACAAATAAAAAAATTACTTGATCATTATTAACGGTCTTTCTTTTCTATAAACAAAATAATTTGACACAATAAAATGGAAAATACTGAGTTGGTTGTATTCAGTTGAATTTTCCAGGGTAAGCACACTGGATAGCACAGATAAATCAATTTTTAATGAGTCAAATGTAAACAAAATTGCACACTTGTACAAAATGGTGACTTGAACGAAACATATCAGCAAGAAAAACAACTTCCATCAGATGTCAGATCACATCATTATATGCCAATATAACTCTCACTGTAATTCTGGCAAAAAGAGATGTAGAAGCAGAGATGGACTAGAGTGGATGCTAAATCAGTCAAGGAAAAATTAACTACAATGTCCAACAACTTGTTCAGGAATTCCCTGAACCATCCTGATGAAGGGGCATGGCTCCAAAGCATATCAATGGAGGTACTCTTTATTCAGGCTGCAATCTCGGCCCCTAAACAGCACTTCATTTTTATAGTCGACTTGTATAGGCAGGGTTCTTGCTTGTGGACAGAGTGACTCCAAAACAGCAGCTCTTGTGGGATGCTTCTGGTCTACAGTGACCATGACCTATCATAAGTGGTCCCAGAAAAAAAAATCGGCGAATCAGCAACAGGGTCATGGGAGGCCAAGGCTCAATTATGCACATGATGAGTGAAGGCTGGCTTGTGTAGTCCGATCTAGCAGAAGAGCTACTGCAACTCAAATTGCTGAAAAAGCCAATGATGGTTCTGATAGACAGGTGTCAGAATACACCATGCATCACTGTTTGTTGCATATTGGGCTACGTAGCCACAGACCAGTTAGTTAGAGTGTCCATGCTGACTTGTGTTCAGCCAAAAGCGCCTACAATGGGCATGCGAGCACCTGGACTGCAGGAGCAATGGAAGAAGGTGGCTTAGTCACATTAATGCAAGAATGGTTTGAGAAAAACCGCAACGAGCTTGAGGTGTCAACTTGCCCTCCAAATCTTAGTCCAAATAGAGCATCTGTGAGATGTGTTAGAAATAGTCTAAATCCAATCAATGGAGGCCCCACCTCACAGCATACAAGACTTAATCTACTACCAATAGCTTGGTGCCAGATACCACAGCATAGGTTCAGAGGTCTAGTGGTCTGGCTGATCGGTCTATGGTCATTTTCCTTCATTTGTATGTGGTAAAGGGTAACCAAGTCTCAATAATGGTGGCTGTGTCATAAGTTGTTAAAACCAGTGAAGCTTATAAGCAGGACACAGTAGAAAAAAAAATTCTCACTAGGACAGGAAGGATGGGAGAAATCATTTTTTTTAAAGAGGTGGATTAAATAGTAACACAATCTTAAAAGCATATTGGCTACAACATATGCGTTTACATTGGCTCAAATTTCCTACCTTCCATCAATTATAGGAATTAGCCTTGGTTTCCATATCACAGCTCTCCGGTCTCATGAATTGCCACAGCCTGAGCAACACCAAGTCTGGGACAATGTAATTCACAACACAGCCCCAGAAAAATTTGGACTACAGCACCACTCTCTTTTTTTCATACTATTTCCTCAGCAATTGATGTTCCTTACTATCCCTAAGAACGTGTGTTGAGAGGGCAAAGAAGGTTCTTACCTCCCTAGGCACCACTGAAATAAAGTGCTCATGACCCCTCTACCCTAAAAGTAAGGCTCCATTGAGAGTCATAATGTGGCTACAGCAGGCTGGGTCGCTAACGACACACTGTTGTCATCTTTCTTCTCCTCTCTGGCTGATTATAGTGAATACTGAAAAGAATTAAACTGACAATGTGATCCAAAACGGACAGTTTCTGCCCCTTTTTATGAAGAAGTAAACACACAGTCTTGTGAATGAGAAATTAGTTATAATCCCCATGAGGAGTAAAGCAGGTCCAAAAGTAGCTGCATCCTATTTTAAGAGTAGAACATTTTTCCAATGTAAAGCTTCACCATTATTTAATAGAATGTATACAGAGCAAAAAACAATCACTTGCAGTATTAAATGGCAACAGTCATTGCAGTCAGTAAAGATCATTCAGAACCAGAGATAATTGCCATGGATTAGTACATATTGCTGTGTGCTTTACAGTATTGAGATTTAATAATTCTCACCTTTGACGTAGATGAAGTGGCAAAACGCTCTACTTCTAGAACCTTGACTTTTATAGGACATCCTGGCAAGTATGTTTGGAGCTCAGGTTCTTTAAACCCCTTTGTGCAATAAATAGCAGAGAAAGGAAAGCAGGCACCTAAGGAGAAAAAACTGATTTTTATAAGAAAATCGAATACGAATCGAAATCGAGAACGAATACTGATAAAGCATCACCATCAGGAAGCCCTTAACTAAACCTGCATACCTGAAGCTAGGAACATACAAATGATGCAGAGTTCTCCTGTATGCATGAATAGAGCTGTAAGCCATAAACAATTTATTCCTCACTTTGCTGAGATCACTACAAAGCAGACCTACAGTATTCACCAGCAAGCATATTCACCATGAATCTTAGATCTTCACAACTTTTCCACAAATTATTGTCTTTTCCAGCAAGTGAAGTCTTCTCAAAATATGTCCAGGATAGGACTGCTTCATTTAAGTTGTTATCTGAGCTTCCAGTAAAAAGGTTGGGCTTGATTTGTTGAAGGATTAATTTGTTTTCTCTTGTTCAAAGGCATCTATGCTTTTTCTAACGTGCTTCCTCAGTGTCCTACTGTGCGTTGTGTCCAGAAAAATGCTACATGCACTTTTTTCCTGGTGCATTGGCAGGTCAATCAAAAAAGGGCTGCTGTACCACAACATGTGAACATGTGACACAAAAAAGCTGAGTGAATGGGACCATCTTGGTACTCCCAAAGTAGTTTGACTATGTACAACAAGCTGGAATGCTTTTGGCCAACAAAGCAGGAGCTGACTTTGGCAGCCCACAGAGGGATCCATTTTTTTCATTCAACCAGCGGGTTGAACGAAAAAAAAAAGACCCGATTCTCCCCATCCAAACATTAGAGATGGATGGGGAATCCTCCCCGCTGAGCTAGCTGTATTCTGAGCTAGTAGTGATCCTCCCTGCTGTGTTCTGACAGTGGAGACACGTCTGCCATCAGAATACACGGATTGAGCAGGAAAAATCCAACAGGGTAGTTGTACAGAAGACAATCAATAGATGGACTTATGTACAACATTCCTGCCCACATAAGAATCGAAATCCAGCTGTCCCCTACTGAACCAGCCACATTTCGATTCATATATGGCTGGCTTTTGGTCAGACTCTGGCATACACTTCGATTGTAATGTATTCATGTAGTGCTTAGGGTTATCAAAGTCTGTTATGAACTTCTCATGCGCTTCACTCCATTATACTGTCTTAGAGTTCAAGTGGATTTTGGACTCTGATGTGACAGAGCACTTACCGGTTGCTTTAGAGTCACTAACGATATCAGAATCCACTTCCTCTCCATCAAAGTGGAGCTCGCTGGTATCTAGGCTCTCTATTAGGTTGCTCATGTCTGCAGCAATCTTCTGCAGAGCAGATGAATCAATCTTCCTCTCCTGTTTTAGAGACATGATAGCACAGGGGCCTAGTAGAAAAAAAAAAAAAAAAAACATAGTCATGAATGTTTAAGGGCTGGAGTTTAGTGTGTTTGAGTCATATCAAAGCACCCACATTAAAGTAGAAGTAAAGACAAAACTATTTTATTCAGTTATGGATAGAATGGAGAGAGATTACTAGGTTTCAGGTTTCAGGTTTTTATTGCCACTTGTGTTCCCATATGAGAGATTCACCCTATTTGTCCTGTTTACCATTATCATTGAAAAAGTTAAAAGTAAAAGAAAATCTAAAATTTTGAGTTGTCCCCAGAATAGTGGAGACACATGGGTTATAACCAGGAATTTGTTTCACAAAAAATAGGTGCAGGAATTTTCCCCTTCTGAGTAACTTCTTGTCTATGCCCCCTTATCCACCTCCGAGCACAGTTCCTTGGTTTCTCTCTCCTAACCACCTCCCAGTACTGCGCCTTTGAGAGAATACAGAGTGAAGTATCATTTTGTGGTGTTAAGCCATTTGTATGGAGTTAAGTAATAACAAGAAAAGCAGTAAAATACACTGGAACACTTTGAAAACACATCAGATCTCAATGGGGAAAAATATCATGCTGGATATATATGCTGGTATGGACTGGGTAATGTGTTAGGAACATAAGGATGCCCCATCATTTGATGTAAATGAAAAATATCAACCTATAGAGGATTGCTTTCAAAGACACCCCGAAAATCAAAGTGAAAATATGATGCAGCAGGCTAGTCCATTTTTCTGAAATTTCATTGCAGCAACTCATAATGGACGACGGATGATGTCCTAGGGTATTTCCTCCCAAATCTAGCTCAGGGCATCATTGAGCTCCTGAACAGTCTGAGATGCAACCTGGCAGCGTCGGATGGACTGAAACATGATATCCCAGAGGTGTTCTATTGGATTTAGGTCAGGTGAGCATGGGGGCCATTTAATGTTATCAATTCCTTCTTCCTCCAGGAACTGCCTACATACGCTCGCCACATGAGGCCGAACATTGTCATACAACAGAATGAACCCAGGACCCACTGCACCAGTGTAGGGCCTGATAATGGGTCCAAGGATTTCATCCCGATACCTAACGGCAGTCAGGGTGCCATTGTCTAGCCTGTAGAGGTCTGTGCGTCCCACCATGGATATGCTGCTGCCCCAGACCATCACTGACCCCCACCAAAACGGTCATGATGAATGATGTTTACAGGCAGTATAAATGTTCTCCATGGCTTCTCCAGACCATTTCACATCTGTCACATGTGCTCAGGGTGAACGTGCTCTCATCTGTGAAAAGCACAGGGTGCCAGTGGCAAACCTGCCAATTCTGGTGTTCAATAGCAAATTCCAATCGAGCTCTATGCTGCTGGGCAGTGAGCCCATGGCCCACTAGAGGACATTGGGCCATCAGGCCACCCTCATGAAGTCAGTTTCTGATAGTTTGGTTGGAGACATTCGCACCAGTGGCCTGCTGGAGGTAATTTTGTAGGGCTCTGGCAGTCCTCATCCTGTTCCTCCTTGCACAAAGGAGCAGACACTGGTCCTGCTGATGGGTAAAGGACCTTCTACAACCCTTTCCAGCTCTCCTAGAGTAACTGCCTGTCTCCTGAAATCTCCTCCATACTCTTGAGACTGTGCTGGGAGACACAGCAAACCTGGCAATGGCACGTATTGATGTGCCATGCTGGAGGCGTTGGATTGCCTGTGCAACCTCTGTAGGGTCCAGGAATCACCTCATGCTACCAGTAGTGACACTGTCCCTAGCCAAATGCAAAACTAGGGAAAAACAGTCAGAAAAGATGAGTAAGGAAAAAAATGTCAGTGGCCTCTACCTGTAAAACCGTTCCTGTTTTGGGGGAGTCTTATTGTTGCCCATCTAGGGCACCTGTTAACCTCTTCACGTCAGTGCCTTCCAGCCCTTTAAGAGGTTTCAGACGCTGGGAAGTAGGGCAGGGTTTTAGGGTCATGTGATCGGAAAAGGTCCTGATCCCAAGGGGAGATCAGGACCTGTGAGACACTGACATATGTGCTGGGAGCACGCAGGGCGCGCACTCTCTGCACACATGTGTTTTCAAATGGTACCCAAATATGCGGCTGCTCGGCGTCAAGGCCCTGCCGCTGAGAGGGTGCATATTTGCGTACGGTCGGAGTCAAGGGGTTAATTTCATTAACACCAAAGCAGCAGAAACTGATTAACAGCCCCCTCTGCTACTTAACTGACCAGATCAATATCCCAGGAGTTTATTTGACTTGATGCTATACTTAAAAAGTGTTCCTTTAATTGTTTTGAGCAGTGTATATCCCTTGCAGCCAGCAGCAATAGACCCCCCTCAAGCAACAACAGGTATCCCGGCAGCCAGCATCAATAGACCCATCCTTCAACAGTAGATCCCCTCCAGCAACAACTGACCCCAAGCAACAGTAAGCAACAGTAAATACCCCACCAGCAACAATAGACCTCCCCAGCAACAACAGACCTCCTCCAGAAGCCAGCTTCAATAGACCTCCCAGCACCCCTTGCCATTTCATAATTTCAGTGCTGGAGGTGCATGAACTGCGTTTCCCCACGTTCCCCGAAAAAAAGCCCTATTTTTAACCCTCCCATACTGTATAAATAAAATTATTAGCATTACTTTATTTCATATTGAATATTGTGTTGACAAAAAAGCAACATTACAGAGCAAAAAAAAACCCCCAAAAAAACAGGGTACTTGTTTATTACAAGTCAGTTCGGATCAGTGTATATTAGCAACAAAAATAAAAAAAAAAACAATTTTTAAGCATCATCTCCAATATAGTTTTCTTTTTTTAAACACAATTATAAACATCATTACTAGGACAGAAAATAAGAGGAAGCTCTCCAGTGGGGAAAAAAAATATATATATTTCCAAATGAGTCCTTGAGATTTTTTCCCAGACAACATATGCATGACTACTGTCTCTGGGAGAGGAAGACAGGAATATTTTCCCCATCAGGGAAATAGACAGCAGAAAGGCTACATTCACACAAGCCATTAGCACACCCTGCAATTTCTAGTGGCGGATTGGACCCGCACAGCAAGAAAAGGGACTTTTGCAACAACCATATGTAAAATGAAAGGACCTTATTTATGAACAGTAGCCAAATCTAAAGCACTAGAAATTATAACTGTGTAAATGTTAAAATATAAATCTGGCACATACAAAACCCAAATACATTAATGCAATTTTTCTTTATGGTTATGGAGCTAGTGGAAAAAAATGCTATTTTTAAACTGTGCTCTTTGCTTTCATTCTTCAGTCAAAAAAGTGAAAGTGAGATAAGATCAGAATTTCATTCTTCAGTGAACATGATCACGCATACCACATACACATTTCTCCTACTTTAAGTGGCACTTAACCCACAAATTTATGTGTTTTCCAAATCAGATACATTTAGGGCAGGCATGTCCAAAGTCCGGCCCGCGGGCCATTTACGGCCCGGGGGTCGGTTTAATACGGCCCTCCAACAGCCCTCCCTGCTCTGTGTAATGTGGCCCTCCCACAGCCCTCCCTTCTATGACAGACAGTCTTCTGCTTGAGAGCAGAGGGCAGTGCGCATGCCTGACTGCGGCGCGTTCTCCCTGGTCTGTGTGAATGCGGCTGTCGCACGGCCCTCCCTTCTGTGGCAGACAGTCTTCTGCTTGAGAGCAGTGCGCATGCGTGACTGCGCCGCGCTGGGAGCGACAGAGGGCGGTGACGTCAGGGCCGGGCTTCCAGCGTGAAGTATGTTTTTCTCTTCCCCTCCCGGCTGCCGAGCAGAGACTTCAGCTCCAGCTACCTTTTTCACCCTTCACATTAGTGCAGGTAAGTTTTTTTTAAATTTATTTTCAATACATTGTGAAAACTCAGCTGTCAGTTGATCTTAATGTTATGAAATGAAAAGTATGTCGTTTGCAATTAACTTGGCATAAAATAATTTATTTGCATTTAATTGTAATGGTTCAAAGAATGTTCGGAATAATGTTCGGCCCTCCACCATGTTCACTTCATCCAATCTGGCCCTCTTTGAAAAAAGTTTGGACACCCCTGATTTAGGGTATGCTGTGAAGGAGAACAGTCACAGTTGCTTGTGCTCTTAACCCAACTGTTAACTCATCCATTTGATGGCGTCATAACTGATCCAATGTGCAGTCCCATGGCAACTACAGATCAAACTGAGGCTAAGATGGTAGCTAGTTCTGCTTTAAGGGCCACTTCACACCACATGCGGTTCAGTTGCTTTTTTTCTGCATCCAAAATGCACAGAAAGTAGGTTATATGGTTGTCAATCTCACAGTTCACATCAGTGCTTGAAGTTCCAGTGCGTTCTGGTTGCAGAAAAAAAAAAAAAAGAAGAACAGGCTGCATTTTTTTTCCGCACAGAACTGTAGTGGAACGCGGTAAACCGCATAAAAAATGTACAGGAATGCACCAAAAATGCACTGGAATGCACACGTACCTATTTAAATAGAAGAAAAAGAGGAAAAAATTTTACTGGAATGCGTACAAAATGCACTGGAACGTGTCAAAAAACACGTATGCGAAAATGCATCCAGAGTTCATCTGGACTGTGTTTCTATAGTGTGAACCAACCCTAAGGAGAAGTATAGCCAAAGCTTTTTTGGCTGTACTTCTATGGATCACAGGAGTGCAGTTTGTTCTGCACTTCTGTGACCAGTTTTTAGCCAACTGTCGGCTGATGTCACATAGCCAGTCCAGGTTCTGAAAAGATCCCGACTATAGAGTTGAGATCCATCCAGGAGCCTGGACTGGCACCTGGCTCAGCCTCTCTGAGAGCAGAGGGGAGAACTGAGCAATCAGCAGTGTTTGATCGCTCAGTTCTCACTGCAGAGCCAGCGGGGGACAGATGCAGCATCTGATTGATGCTGCATTCACCTAGGGGAGTAAAAAAAAAAATTAAAAAAAAAAAAAAAATATATATATATATATATATATACACACATACATATACACACATACAGTTGCAAGAAAAAGTATGTGA